CACATGGGACTAATTTTTAATAATATTACATGCTGTATACAGATATGTGTGTGTGTGTGTGTGTGTGTGATGTGTGTGTGTATGTATGTATGTATGTATGTATATGTACAGAGAGCCAGCTTGATGCAGTAGTTAAAAAATAGGAGATCATGAGTCATTAGTTCTAATGGGTGACCTTGGACCAGTCACTTTCAGCCTTTAGTAAGAGGAAATGGCAAACCATTTCCAAAAAACAATGGCAAGAAAATTACATAGGTTTGTCCAGGCAGTCACTGGGAGTCAACAACTCACTCAAAGACACAAAAAGTAACATTAAAATATACATACAACTAATGTAACTACAGGTAACCCTCGACCACAACTGAGCCCAAAATGTATGTTGCTCAGTAAGAAATTTTGCTAAATGCCCCATTTAACAAACCTCTCTTGCCATCTATCACTGCAGATGTGAAATTAGTAACATGGTTGTTAAGTGAATCTGATTTCTCCATTGATTTTGCTGGTCAGAAGGTCACCAAAGACCCCAGGACATTGCAACCGTCATACATGTGAGTCAATTGTCAAGCATCCAAAAGTAAATCATGTGACCATGGGGGAGGGGGATGTTGCACCGGTCATAGGTGTGAAAAAACGGTCATGTCACTTTTGTCCAATGCCGTTGTAACTATGAAAGGTCACTAAATGAACTGTTATAAATCCGAGGATTGCCTGTATTTAAATAACTCAGCCCCCCACCCGACCCCCAGCATCAGCCCTTGCCATACGAATAAAACATTTAGTCCGGTTCTCTTATTTGCAGAGCTCCAACTTATTCAATTAACCTCAGCCTGCTTGCTGGCTCCCATTAGCATAACCGAATCGCCCCCCTCCTCATTCGAATGCGAGGGGGCGGGGCGTCCTCCACCAAGCCCCGCCCACCGCCCGCGCGCCACCGGCTACCTTCCTGCAGGCGGCTTCTGCGGTGAAACTCGTAGCAAGGCCGCGTCTTGTAGTCGGGCAGCTCTTCTACCGGGGGGCTCCGGCGGTGGTAAGGGTCGTGCCAGCCTCTCTCCCACTTCGGGAAAGTCGGCTTGGCCAGCCAAGGCACCCGGTACATCTTCTCCGCGTATGTCACCGTGTCAAGCTCGGGCAGTTGCTCCCGCACCGGCGGCGGTCTCCGTAAGTACCATGGCAGGGGTTCCCCGGGCGCCGGCCCCTTCAGAGTCCAGGGAGTGCGAGGCAAGGGGCGCCTGAGGGTCCTCGGCCCGTACAACCCCCTGTTGCGGCGCTGCCCCCAGGACGCCCACAAGCACCCCTCTCGCTTAACCAGCCGCCGCGCCGCCAACATCTTCCGCACCGGTCACCTCAGCGAAGGCAGCGGCCGGCAGCCATTTTTGATCCGGCTGCGAAAAGCATGCCGGGAGAGGAGGCGGGCACCTTGGGTGATTGACGGCGAGCAGGGCTCTTTTCCTGAGCGGGGCAGAGCTGACGGGAGGGAGGCGGGTCTGAGAGCCTTCAATCCTTCTGAAGGGGCGGGGCCGCGCAGGCGCTAAGTTTCTGCATGAGAGAGAGGGGGGGGTGTTTGCAAGCGATGAGCTGGCATGAAGCCATTATCCCAATGACAACCTATGAAGAACGGTTTCAGGACTTGGGTATGACCAGTCTAAAGAAAAGAAGGCTTGGGTGTGTGTGTGTGACGTGAAAGCAATAATCCAGTATTTGAGAGGTTGCCACAAAGAAGTTTGGGAGGTTTCAACTTATTCTCCAGAGTCCCAGAAGGCAAGACGAGAAACAATGGATGAAAACTAATCAAGGAGAGAAGCAACCTGGAATTAAGGAGGAATTTCCTAATAGTTAGGACAATTAACCAGTGGAACAGCTTGCCTCCAGAAGTTGTGGGTACTTCATCACTGGAGGTTTTTTTTAAGGAGAGACTGGACAGTCACTTGGCATAGGGCTACGTTTCCCAACCTTGGCAACTTGAAGATGTCCGGACTTCAATTCCCAGAATTCCCCAGTCACCAATGCAATAGCAGTAGACTTATATACCGCTTCATAGGGCTTTAAGCCCTCTCTAAGCGGTTTACAGAGAGTCAGCATATTGCCCCCAACAACAATCCG